ACGGTTTAGACATCACTACGCTACAAAGCTCTAGCAATAGGAACGTCTCGAAAATCAAAACAAGTTGCATACTACAAGTCAATCCGAGTCTCAGTAAACGTCACACGGCAGAGTTCTACTCCTCCAAAGAATGAAGTTGAAGCCATCCATTCATTATTAAAGTTGAGCACCTATCACGAAATTTATGGGCGCTATATATGTAGAGCAATTTTGTATCACGGAGAATCCTTGGTGTTCACGAATTCGTGCATGGAGGGCCGCGAGGGGGCCGATGCCCTCGCCGTCGTCACCCCGGGCACGCGAGCGAGGCCAGCCTGGAACTGCCCTGTCTACCGCCCGCCTCGCCCGACCCTCCTCGCGAGGAATCCGAGGCCCGGCCCTTCGGAACCTGACCGGGACGCCGGTACTCGGCTGCCCGTGGGGACCACCCAGCTGACTCAGAACCCGACCTGGTGACGCAGCTGCTTGATAAAATCGTAGGAAGGAGATCAAGTTTAACTAGGGCCTAGGCTTAGGAGCCTAGGCCCAACTAGGATGTCGAGTAGTTTGTGCCTAGGGTGAGATGTCGAGAAAGTTGGGAAGGATGGGTTGCACTATAGGTTTCAAGGAACATATAGCATAGGAAACAAAGAAGGTGCACCACCAAACTAAGCTTATAATAACTACACTAACTACAGCTACAGGCAGTTACAAATATAAGTTCTGACACTCCCCCATAACTGCCTGCAGGAGGAGTTTGTGCAGAATACAACCTGCAGGTGTACACATGCAAAATAATAAACAAGCAACAGCAGGAACTGCAGGCGGGCTGACACTAGCTGGTCACCCACTCCATCTCCTCACCCTCCTCCTTCCCCTCCCCCACACTGCTGCAGGAGCAGCAGAGAAGGGGGGGAAGAGAGGAGAGGTGGAGGGACGGCTGCTGGTTGCCTCACACCCGCCACCCCGGTGCCACTCCCCCTTCTCCCCCACACCCTCACACCCTCCCCCCCAGCGGCAGCTGCAGCAGTGGGAACGAAAGGAGGAGGAGGGGAAGGGAAGGAAACGACCCAAAGCTCCAACACCCGCCACCCCCATACCCTCCTCCCCACGGCTGCAGGGAAACAAAGGAGGAGGGGGTGGGCGGGAAGAAAGCCGCAGAGCGGCTACATTGTGTCGGCGCAGGTAGGTCAGGGGCGGCTGCAGGGAGAGCAGGTGCGGAGAGGGCCCGTCGCGTGCCACGGGGCGCACGACGGGCAAGTTTAAGTTTAGGGCCCGGTCGTGTGCCTCGGGGCGCACGACGAGCAGGGCACCGTCGCGTGCCACGGGGCGCACGACGGGCAGGTTTAGGGCACCGTCGCGTGCCACGGGGCGCGCGACGGGCAGAGAAGGAGTCACTCGCCAACCAGGGGCGGGACAAGAGAAAATCGCCACGCGCCCTAGGCGCGCGACCGAGAAAAATAGCAGCGGAAGCATATTGGCGGGCCCACAGGCCAGGACGTAAAACGCTCTGATAGCATGTTAAAGTTTAAAAGAAAGAAGAGAGAAGAAGAGGATTGCACTAGCAAGAATGGGGATACAAATAGGAAACCCTAGAAGGGTTGTACTCGCTATAGAGCACCCCACTACAGGCTAGAGCATAAGATAACATTCTGACACACCCCCATAGCCAAAGTGGGGTGTAATCAGCAGAGCAAGAAAAGCAGTACAAGCTCAGGGTGGATCACAATGTCACCACACATTCTGAGCACAAGTTCAAGAAGGAATAGTTTAAAGGGTACAATTATGAGCAAAGCTAGTGGTAGTCACAACGGGCAAGCGAGGAGGAGGAGAGAGAGTGAGGGGAGAGGAGATAGGAGGCGACGGCTGAAGCTGCAGACACACGGGCAACAGGAGGCAGACTGGCACAGCGGCTACCGGACTAAGCGCCCGGACTACAGGAGTAACAGGCCCCGCGGCTAAAGTAGCGGCAGACGAGCAACGGACCCACGGGCGGCTGGTGTAGAAGTCTACGACTGGGCTACCGGACGAAGTCCCCGGACTACAGGTGCTGCTGGCGACACGACGGCAACCTCCGTGCAACTTCCCCAAACAGTCTCACCCCCCCGACACACACCCGCTGCTACACCGCTAGCTCCACTCCCACGCACCCCCCTTAAACCCTAAACCCCAGTCTCCCACACAACCACCCCCCTCAGCGACAGCTGCAGCAGTGGGAGACGAAGGAGGAGGAGGAGCAAAGGGAGGAATGCACACCGGCCACCCCCATACCCGCCACCCCACAGCTCGCCCCTCCCGTCGCCCGTCGCGGCTCCTTCGGGGGCCGCAAGCGGCCCCCTCAGGTCGCCTCGACAGGCGACGGGAAAAGGGGAAACCCGAAGGAGGGGGGGGGGGGGGGGGGGGGGGGAGGCGGGGCCGGGGCCGGGGCCGCGACAGGTAGGGCGACGGGCCGCACGTAGGGCGGCGAGACGACGGGGCCGCGGCCAGAGGTGGCGGGGCCGTGAAGGAAAGCGGCGGGGCCGCGATGGTGGGGCGGCGGGGCCACGATCGGAGGTGGCGGGGCCGCGACCGGAGGTGGCGGGGCCGCGAAGGAAAACGGCGGGGCCGCGAGAGTGGGGCGGCGGGGCCGCGACGGGTCCCCGTCGCCCGTCGCGGCGCCTCCAGAGGGCGACGCGACGAACGACGGGGCAGAAGCCCGTCGCGCGCCTCGGGGCGCACAGCGGGCAGAGAACCGCCGCGCGCCTCGGGGCGCACGGCGGGCAGAAAACCGCCGCGCGCCTCGGGGCGCACGGCGGGCAGAAAACCGCCGCGCGCCTCGGGGCGCACGGCGGGCAGAAAACCGCCGCGCGCCTCGGGGCGCACGGCGGGAAGAAAAACTGCCGCACGCCACGGGGCGTGCGGCACAGAGAGTAGCAGTAGCAGTTGCAGCGGAAGCAACAAGGTGGTGAGCCCACCCACAGGATCGATCCAAGGGGATCGACCTGCTCTGATACCATGATAAAATCGTAGGAAGGAGATCAAGTTTAACTAGGGCCTAGGCTTAGGAGCCTAGGCCCAACTAGGATGTCGAGTAGTTTGTGCCTAGGGTGAGATGTCGAGAAAGTTGGGAAGGATGGGTTGCACTATAGGTTTCAAGGAACATATAGCATAGGAAACAAAGAAGGTGCACCACCAAACTAAGCTTATAATAACTACACTAACTACAGCTACAGGCAGTTACAAATATAAGTTCTGACACTGCTCGGGGACCACCTGAACTCGTGCATGTCGTTTCGTTCATTCCGAGGACGAAACCCCAACGAGCCTCACAGCCGCGGTTTGGGACACGTCCGTGGCGAAAGTCCTGGTTCGAGGGAACCCGAACCGGCGGGTGTTGCAGCCGTGGGTTCACGAGTGGGGAGGGGTATAAAAGGGGCCCGAGGCCGTCATTTCTCATTTGTGCAAGCGACTGTGATTTTTTGCAATCGATTCTCAACCTTCGCTGCTGCTTTCGAACTTCAACCCAGGTGAGCACCGGGGGCTTGGGCTAGGGGGAAGGTATAGGAGGGTGGGCGGATTTTGTGTGCAAGGGGTGAGTGTGGATAGCTAGGTGGATTGTATGGCCCGCGATTGCTGTGGTGTGCGGTGTGTTGTAATATGTGTTTTTCCCGTAATTCGGGATAGTAGAAACCGTGCGCAGTGATCGGCGCGGTTTTGGATCTTTTTCGCTGCTCATTTTTCGCGTCGTTGAACCCGTCATTTTTTGCGTAGTTGAACCCGTCATTATTCGCGTCGTTAATCCCCGTCATTTTTCGCGTCGTTGAAACTCGCCATTTTCCGCGTCGTTGAACCCAGTCACTGAGTTTCCGTGATGCGAATGTTGCTCACCAGTCGGTCGCGCGTGCCGTGATGAATCGTGCAGTTCGCGTTTTCGGCATGATGGCTCGTGAGGCGCGAGCGTTGTCCGACCCCGTCGGGTGCCTTAAGAAGTTTGACGTCGTAGTGGAGGCGGGCGGAGCCACCGTTGTGCTGGCCGCGGAAGACAAGTCCGTTCTCGCGGACGATAGCGCCGACTTCACCGCCGCAGTCCTCGATTTCGCGTGCATGTAAGAGTGCGCTTCGTTTTTCATCTTCAATCGCGCGCCGGTATTGTTCTGACGGATCTAAGCTGCTCATTTTTTTTGTTATGTTCTCAGTTTCGTGTTGGAGAAACACGGAGGTGACCGCCGCAAAACGACAAAGATTTATACGTCGGCGCAGCAGGCAAAGTTGCTGGCATCCGACGCCCCCATACCCGCCATGCTCAAGTCTGACCTCCTCGTTTTCCCCCTGTGGTCCAAGTACGGATTGGCCGCGATTTTCACGAGCAATGCGGAATGGTACGAGTGCAGTGCCTAACGCCTTTTTCGCGTGGCCATGAGCAGGTCGGATATCGATGAGCCGCTGTGTAGCATTATCGTGTTTTTCAAGCCGAACGACTTGCAGAACGAGGGCAGCGAGGGCTGCGCGACTCGACTCATCCATATTGACCCGGGCGTGGGACCCGACGGGCACGCCGCGAAGGTGGAGGAGATTGTCGCGTAAGAAAACTGTCACGTTTTTTTTCGCATTGGGAGAATTCGCTCTGATTCCGACTTCTGACGCGTAGCCGTGCGATTGTGGTCGCAGGTGGTTCAAGTCCTCTTTCGAGACGTATGCAAAACAGGACAAGGAGCCCAGCCTTAAACTGGCGCATCCACGGGTGATGGCTTTGATGCGGAAACACATGGTTCGTGGGAAATCAGCCGCACTCACTGATTGCACATTTCTGCGCGCCTCTGCGAAACTGACCTATCTTCTGTAATCGCGTGCAGGACCTAACCGCGATAGATGATTCGCGGTGTGGATCGGGCGTGAAGAGCGTCTACGGGTTCCAGCGCCTGCTTTCGGAATTCGTGACTCTGGCGAAGGATTCCGACGCTCCGCTCCGTGCCGTGGCGAACAAGAGTCTGAAGGCAACTCGCGGCCAAATTCTGAAGCACGCGCAGGACATCGCTATCAAAATGAGCATCTCCGACCAGGCCGGAGGGTCCGTAGAGGCGTCAGGCCGGCGACACACGGTCGAGGCCAGGCCGGAGGAGTCCGAGAAATATGAGGAAGCAGAGGGCGATCAAGAAACCGAGGGGGCTGGTGAAGGGGATGGCGACGGTAAGGACGGTGAGCAGCGAGCCCGCAATGTTGCCGCTGCGGCTGCCACCCAGAAGGCTGCGGTTGACACTCACGATCGGACTGCCGCAGCAAAATCCGCGAAAACCAAGACCTCGGCCCAGGAACCTTCTGCGCCTCATGCGGAACCGAAGCCTGCTTCTGGCGCGAACGTGGGAGTGGGCACAGGAACGGGAGATACTGGAGACGAGGATTCGAATGTTCCGCGCCACACGTTATCCGAGCTGCTGACCTGGCCAGTGTTGACGCTCGCGCACGAGGTTGTCCGGCTGGAAGGTGCTCTGGATGATTCGATTCAGGCTCAGTACGACGCGGATCACGCCCTCAAGCTTCAGCGCAATCGGATTCGCGGCCTTCTGAACGATCTTCAAGTCCAGAAGGACAATCTGGACGCAGCCATTACGAGGACGGGCAACATCGCAACGCGGTTTCAGGAGGCGGAGGAAAAATGGGCGCGGACAGTCGAGGGCTTGGTCCAGGAGCTAAGGGTTGAGCGCGGGTCTGCGACTGTGCAGCGGGAGGCCGCGGACCGTACGCTCCGTAGGTTGGAGGACACGATGGTGGGACTGAGGGCTTTGATTGCGGATTCGATTTCGGATGCGGTGGCGCGAACGCGTTACGAGATGGCCCCGTGGGGAAGGATGGGGACGTTCGAGGCAGGTGTGGCGACTGCCGCGGACCGTGGAGGTGGAGGCATCAGGATGGTCACCGGACCCTTGCGCTTTGAAACCGCAGAAGCAACAGGGAGCGAGGATCGCGGGGTGAAGAGGCCATCAGGGTTACCGACACCCCGTTCACCCTCGCCGCCCCCCAAGAAAGCAAAGGGCTCGTCCGAGCAACCGGAGGCCCGAGAACCTGGCCGCGGAAGTTTGGCTCAGAAGTCCAAAACCGCGGGTGCGACTGTCAATAGGCCCTCGCCGATCGCGTCTGGCACTGGAGGGCCGCCAGCAGCTGGAGGTGCCGCGATCCAGCAGGCTGGTGTGCCCTTAATGCGTGGCGCAGAGGAAATCCCTGACGCAGATGCTGAGGCAACGGAGGCCATGCAGACGTGGTTGTCCATGGCTCAGCACCCGGAGAAGGCGGACGCGAAGGGAAGCGCGAAAGGAAAGGAGAAGGAGAATCCGAAATGGGGCGTTGGTATACGGCAAAACTCGCGGGGCATGTTCACCTTGGAGCTTCACCACTCGTCACGCTGGTACTTCGGTTCCCACGCTAAGCTCCCTACCGTGCGGTTTCTGTGCGCGGTGGCACAGATGGTGTGGAATCAGCAGATTCCCGAGGACAAGCTGGTTCTGACTGACGAGGAAAAAGCGAAGTGGACCTCCGATCTTGATGTGGCGCGGATTATGCACGCTGGTGTTTTCGCGGTTCTTTATCTGCGAGGTATCTGCGCGAGCCCCAAAAGGTCCGTATTGTCTGGTATCGGTGGTTCGCGATGCCATTATACACCCCGTCTCTAATTGTATGGCTGTCCCGCGTGCAGGATTCGAGCTGTGATGAAACGAGTCAGGACTTTAAAGGACGAAAACGCGGAAGCGAGCGACGAGGTCGCCTGCTCTGCTGCGGTTGGACTCGAGACCGTGGCGGACGATTCACCCGCGAAGGGCAAGAAGTTTGTGCCCTCTGGTGCTGGGAGTGTGGCGTTTGTTTGCGCGGTTTCCTGGATGCAGTGTAAGGGATGTGATCTGAAGACCGCGGAAGCGAGCGCGAAACAGGCCGCGCTACTTGCCGGAGCGAGCGATCTGAGCGTGGTTCTCTACCTCGCGGTTTGGAAGCACATCGTCACGGCAGCGAAGAAGGGACATGATGCTGCTAAGATCGAACTCCAGGTCGCGAAACATTTCGCGGACGCGAAAAAAGCCACTGTCACGAAAAGTGAGAAAAGCACCATTCACGAGCAGGTGGATGTGCTGAGAACCTGGAACTTCGACCCAGATGCCGCTAAGAAGATGCGTGCGCTGGGCTTGTATATCGAGTGCGGTGACGATCGCGCGAAGGCCAAGAATCGTGACGTTAGCCGGTCGCGTGAGAGAAAGAGTGCCGCGAAATCGGACGACGAAGGTGGCTCCCACGCTGGAAAAAAGAGTGCCGCGAAATCGGACGACGAAGGTGGCTCCGAGGCGGAAACGATTGAGCTTGACGATTCAAAAACGGAGGAAATGTGATCGCGGCATGGTTTTCGCGAGGGTGGTTGAGTTTTTTCTACTCTGAAATCGCTTTTGTGCTTTTGTGTTTGTATCGGATTGTGCTACACCTGTTTAGGTCTGAACGGGGGTTTTGTCGTGTTAAGTCTAGGTCGCAAGCTGAATTGTCATAGCAAAAACGTTTTTTCCAGACGGCAAAGAGAACACAACACAACACGAAACACCACAGCAGGGGACAGTCTAGCATTTCCGATTTTTAGAGAAACCATGGTGTTCCGGTTTAGGGTAATCAAGATTCCCGCGGCCTTTTGTTAGACTCGTTCGGGGAAGTGTCGTTCGCGTCGATCGTGTTAGTGTTGTTCGCGTCAATTATGAACTCACTCCAGCATTTCGGGGAGAGATTTTTGCCCCTTACTTCGTCCTCAAAGCCAGGCGCGAAAAGTTCCACGCCGAGGGTGATTCTGCGACCGGCGCACACGTAACACATGGGAGGATAACACATGGGCAGGTAACACTCGTACCGACGAATGCTGCTGCGAAATCGGCGAGCCATTTCGCTTTTTAATCCGAACTCGCCGCGTGTCATTGTGCGACGCGCTAGCTGGCGACACGTGGCTTGGATGCTCGCGGGAAAAAGTGCTGTACATAGGTATTAGATGCTTGCTAGATCGCTCTGCGAAGTCGCGTGACCGGGGCAATGGCGCTTGCAGCGACTTCGGCGCGTATGCACATTAGAGCGAGTTACTGACGTGCGAAAAAAAGAGGAGGGATTCTTCAAAATGAACCTAATAACAAATATCGCTGAGCTCACGGTGTACGCGACAAAACCAAACGAACGAAGGACTCTGCTGCGAGGATATTTCCCAAAGTTTTTTCTACTCTGAATTCGCTTTTGTGCTAAACCATCAATCAGTTTATAATGATAAACAACTAGTTGAAAATCATGGGGCGTCCGTGGGGACCACCTGACTCGGCCAGCTGCCCAAGCCCAGCCCGGCTGACTCAGCCCGGGCACGGGTGGGATGCTGTCGCCCGAGCCCTCTGCGACGTCGCATGCATGGTCGTCCGGCGCGCGTGCGACGAACTTGTTACGGATGCATGATTTTCGAGTTACCGACTTTTCCGAAACCCAAGACGAAAAACGCACTAACATATACAAACGCGGAACAAACCAACACGTGTACACCAACATGTGAACTCGGGAGGTACACGCGTCAAATCCAGATGCTAAAAAAAATCGAGGCCGTCCAAACCGAGCCTCGTCCACGCTTCGGGGACAGTTCCGGCCCGAAACCCTTGGTTCGCGTGGGGCCGAACCTACGGCGTTTCGCTCTGGTGGGTGCTTGTGGAATCGGATATATGTCGCTGGTGGCCGTCGTTTTTCATTTGTGCAGTCGCATTCGGAAATCTTCATTCTCAGATCTCCTTCCCTTCAAGCAAGCCTTCTTCCAGGTGAGAAATGGGACGGGGTCAAGGACGGGGGGATGTGGGGACTCGGGAGTGGGGGAGCCGGGGAGGGTGGATGACGGGTGGTAGTTTGGGAGGGTGGTGGTGGAATAGTAGATGGTGTTCCCTTGGTTGCTGGTGGAGTTGCGTGATTTTCGCGGGACAAATGCTGTTCTCGGGTCAGAGGTGTTGGAATCGCACACAGATACATCGCGCTAGTTTTCGCGGTTATTTTGTGATGCGTTTGCGTCGCGCGGATGCGAGCGTTTCTGTCCGGCGAATTCGAGTTGCTGCATTTTTTCGTGTTGCTATCTTGGCAATCGCAATTGCTGCGTTTCCGCGGTTGTTGTTTTCGCGTTTGAAACAGGATGTTACGTGAGAGGCGCGCGCTTTACGACCGCTTGGAGAGTTTCAACAAAGTGGACGTCGCCATGGAAGCGGGCGGTGCGTCCGTCGTGCTGACGGAAAATGACAAGGAAGCCATTCTGGATGAGTCCGTCAAATACACCCCCGCCGCACTGGATTTCGCATGCCTGTAAGTGTTTGCGGGCGACCTAATGTCTCCGCCTCGATGACGTACGCTGATATTCGCGTTGCTAATGGTTGTTCGTGGGTGTGCATCCTGCAGCTTCGTGTTGGCGAAACTCGGCGGCGACCGCAAGGAGTCGACACGAATTGTTACATCGTCGGAGCAGGGCAGTTTGTGGCTTTCGGACTGCACGAAACAGACCATGAATCCGAACGCGGAGATCTCGGACATGTTGAACAAGGAACTTGTTGTTTTCCCAATGTGGTCGAAGTAAGTGTTGGCCGCTCTAGTGGTGTGTTATAGTGGTTCGTGCCTCCTCCTGACTCCGATTATGCGAGTTGATGCAGGCCCGAAGACGGAATCACGGTTTGCAGCGTCCTCGTTATCCTGCAGCCAAATCAGCTGCAGTATGATAGGGACGAGACATCCAACACGCGTATTATCCACATCGACCCGTGTTTTGGCCCCGACCCGCAGCGGGAGCTGGCCACGAAAATCATAGAGTGAGTTTCGCGGTTTCGTGGCCACTTAACATTCTGGGTTACTTTCGCGTGCTAACTCTGATTGTTGTTATGCACGTAGTTGGTTCAAGAGACGCGTGGAGAAGTACGAAGACACCGACGACGAGCCCAGCCTTGTATTTGCGCGTGAGCGTGTGCAAAAGCTGAAGCGCGAGACCATGGTAAATTCGCGCCTCCTATGTTCCGCACACGAATGAGTACGTGTGCATTCTAATTTTTTGCCCTTGTTTACGTCGGTCGCGTGCAGGACTTGAGCGCATTGGACAAGGTGAAGGCAGTTTTCGGATTACAGGCTGTTTACGGATTTTCGCGCATCCTCTCGGAGTTCGAGGCTATTGTGAAATCACCTGGTGAACCTGTCCGTGCAGCGTCCGTGAAGGCTTTGAAGCCTTTGCACGATAAGATTCTGAGGCATGCCCAGGACATCGCCATTGACACGCGGTACAACGAAGCAGTCGGAAACCGCAGCCACGGTGGTCCAGCGGAGGTTGCACAAAAGCGAGCCGGAGTTCTGGGTGCCGGCGCGGAAGCCGGCAGAGGCGAGGGCGCGAAAAAGGGTGAGGGCGCGAAGAACGGCGAGGGCACGAAAAAGGGCGAGGTCGTAAACATGGGCGAGGGCGCGAACAAGGGCGAGGACAATGGCCAGGCCGAGGGTGAGGAGGGCAAGAATTATTTCACGGCCAAGGGCGAAGGCGAGGGCGAAGGCGAGGGCGAGGGCGAAGGCGAGGGCGAAGGCGAGGGCGAGGGCGAAGGTGAGGGCGAGGGCTGGTATGGGGAGGAGGGCGAAAACGAGGGCGAATACGAGGAGGATGACGAAGAGGGGTGGGAGGGCGGGGAGGGTGGGTACGAGGAGGGCCACGGTGGTGGGTATGGGAAGGGTGAGAGCGGTGGGGAGGGTGAGGGCGAGGGGGAGGGCGGAGGCGAGGGCGAGGAGGAGGCCGAGGGAGCTGATTGTGGTGAACGGCACAGGATTGCGGTCGGCAGCACGAAAATTGGAGCACCGGTTGACGAGGCTCATCAAGCTCCACAGTTTCGCGCCGTTGGCAATCGCGGATTCGTGGGACAGACACGCCTTGCGCGCCGGTCAGAGCGTTCGATCGCGCAAAGGCGGACTGTGGACGAGTTGTCATCGTGGCCTGCTCTGTCGCTCGTGCACGAGGTCGTCCGCGGACTCCGCGCTCGAGAATTCGAGGCAGGACCTGGCTGATGCGCGACACAACAACTTCGTGCAGCGCAAGAAAATCCGCGAACTGCTGACGAGGATGGGGGAGCATCGCGCCGCGTTGTCTCGTGTGACCGACAGGTCTGCCAGTGCTCTTAGGAGGCTGGAGGACATGGAGAGACGTGCTGGGAAGGATCTCGCGGATGCTGTGCACGAGGTTCGGACGGAACGTGCATCCGCGACAGCGCAGCGGGAGTCGTCGGAGCGTGCCATAGCGAAGTTGGCGGATGCGGCTTCTGCCTTCATGTCGATGGTTTCGCAACACGGTCTTATTTCGTCGGGGCCAACGAGGATGGATTTCTTTGCAAACGTTCGTGGTGGAGAGACGGGATCGGCAATCGCGGGCGAAAGGGGTGGATATGGTGTGCGGGATCCGGGCCAAGGGCGGCGCCCGGGTATGGAATCCGCCGACGCAGCAGTTGGAGATGAAAAAAGCGGGAAACGCAGCGCGGTCCTTCCTGCTCCTCTCGCAGCCACACCCCCCCCGAAAAAGGCAAAGACAAACTCCGACCCGGTCATCACCTGTCAACCCGCAATCGGAAATGTGGGTGGTGAAGTTCCGCACGGGCCATCACAGTTCGTGGCTGGCAGCGCTGGAGGTCGTTCTGCTGGGGCAGCCACTGGCGGGACACTGGTCGTGCCGCTTATCGGGGGAGTGGACGGCACAGATCCCGACGAGACCGAGGCCACGAAGGCAACCCTGGCGTTCATGGCAAGACTCAAGGGTGGTAAGGGGACTGCAAAGGGCCCCGCGAAGGACAAGGGCCCCGCGAAGGATAAGGGAGCCGCGAAGGAAAAGGGAGCCGCGAAGGAAAAGGGAGCCGCGAAGGAAAAGGGACCCGCGAAGGAAAAGGGACCCGCGAAGGACAAGGAGCTCGGAGTTGGCATTCGGGTGAACGCGAAAGGAACGGCGTGGACGCTGGAATTGCACTACCAGAACTTGCGCTGGTACTTTGGCAGTTTCAACGCACTGGCGAAGGCGCGATATACTGCCGCGGTTGTACAGACCGTGTGGCACAAGAAGGTTCCGAGCGACAAGATGGTTTTGTCGGAGGCGGAAGAGGAGAAATGGACCGCGGATCTGGATGTTGCGCGTCTTTTGCATCCGGGGGTGTTCGCGGTAATGTTTCTTCGCGGCATGTGCACTGGGGGCAAAAGGTATGTGTCGTTATTTAGTTCTACGCTTTGCGATTTCGCGTTTTAGAGTTTCTTGCTGTGGATTTCGCTCTCTGATTTCTTGACTATGCTTTTGAGTTTCGGTCATTGTTTCGCGGATTGACTTGCGCCAAGTGGTCGTGGCTTAGTTTCCGTTCGATGCCTGTGTCAAATGCAGGATGAGAAGCATGTTTTCGCGTTTCAGGAATGCAGCCGATGGACCGGACGACCTGATTGACGAGGTCGCGGCCTCGGTTGCGCTGGGCCTCGAGGTGGAAGCGGACGAGCATTATGCGAAATCGAAGGTTCCAGAGGGTGCTCTTGCCGGGTCCGTGGCGTTTACGGTCACGTTCCTGTGGCTAGTCTCCAAGAGACGTGATCGCGGCTTCGCTGACACGGAAGCAAAACGCGCTGCAGAGAAGGCTGGAGCCCCGAGCCTGAGTGTGGAGCTAATCTTGGCCGCGTGGCTGAACATTATCGTGGCTCTTAAGACAAGCGACGATGCGGACGAGGTGGAGAAGCAGGTGGTGGCCGCTTTCAAGGGTGCGAACAACAAGAGCTTGGAACCTCTCGTGCATGAGATGGTCGACGTACTGAGCACGTGGTGTTACGATCCCGAGGCAGTAGCGAAGTTGAGGGGTGTCGGCCTGTTTGTGGAGTGCAGCGATGATCGCGCCAAAGCAAGGAGCCAGCCCAGCACGCGTTCGCGTGCGAAGAAGCCATCCCCGCCATCCCCGCCATCCTCAGAACCTGGGATGGAGAACGTTGAAGAGATTTCCGATGATGACGAGTAACTTGTGTGTGGGAGTTGTGGCTTCGCATGTGCTCTAACTGTAGTTGCTTCGCTTCTGTGGCTGCACGCGGTTTTCGCGTGCATCGCTCTCACTTTTTCCGAATCTAAGTAGGTAAACATATATGGTTCTTAGAAACCGTTAAAGATGCTACTTGTTTCACAAGACACTAATAGGGACGACAATTGGGTTTCAAATTGCTCACAAATCTACGCGAAATGTAGCATGCACACAAGGCCGAAATTCAAATGGTTTATGAACACACTCCAGCATTTCGGGGAGAGATTCCACGCTGAGGGTGATTCTGCGACCGGCGCACACGTAACACATGGGAGGATAACACATGGGCAGGTAACACTCGTACCGACAAATGCTGCAGCGAAATCGGCGTGCCATTTCGCTTTTTAATCCGAACTCGCCGCGTGTCATTGTGCGACGCGCTAGCTGGCGACACGTGGCTTGAACCCTCGCGGGAAAAAGTGCTGTACATAGGTATTAGATGCTCGCTAGATCGCTCTGCGAAGTCGCGTGACCGGGGCAATGGCGCGCTTGAAGTGACTTCGTTACGTATGCACATCAGAGCGAGTTACCGACGTGCAAAAAAAAGAGGGGATTCTTCAAAATGAACCTAATAACAAATATCGATGAGCTCACGGTGTGCGCGACAAACCTAAACGAACGACGGACTCTGGTGCGAGGATATTTCCCAAAGCGAGGCACTCGTTTGGGTCGGGATAAGGTCAGGCCCGATAACATAGGTTCGCATTTCCCGAACCTATGTCTATTCGCTGAGGAGGGTGAGTGCAGAATCGCTTATTTGGGGTTGCAGGTCGTCATTTTCCATTTGTGCATTCGCATCTCGCTTTTTCCTTCGGTTTCTCATCTCTCCTTCCCTTCAAGCAAGGCTTCTTCAAGGTGAGGGATGGGACGGGGTTAAGGGAGGGGGGATGAGGGAATTGGGGAATAGGGGTAGTAGGTAGGGGTTGTAGTATATCGGGGAAGTGGTCCCCTAGCTAGAGTTGTTGTTGGTGTTACTACTAGCTCCGTTTCGCGGCTTAGGGTTTCCCGCGGTTTTGTGACTGCAATTTCAACTCAATAAAAGCGGGAAGCACAGCTGAGAATCAGCTCAGTGGCTTGGTTTTCGCGGCACCTTTTATCCCAGGTTTAGAACAACCATAGTCTACGTGCGCAACGCGCGAAGTACATATGAGAATCTGAGTAGTACTACCATCATCTTCGTGGGTCCCACGCTTCCGCTGTTTTGTGTCGATACATTATTATTCGCGCATCGCGGTAGGCACATCCGAGAATTAGAGTGGTGTAAGTAGCAGCTTCGTTTGCGCTCCACGTCCTATCCCTCTATTTTGTGTCAGCAATTCCAACGTCCAGAAAGTGCGACTCTCGTCTGAGAATAGGTGGTGTTAGTAGTTACGCATTTTTCGCGGCACTCACTATCAACCCTGTTTTTCGGGCATGGGGTCCTTAAGGTGTTTTCGCGGTTTTCTCTTGATTTTGCGTTTGCTGATTCTTCTTTACAAAGGATGTCCCGTGAAAGGCGCGCGCTTTTCGACCGCATTCTGAGCTTCAAGAAAGTCGACGTCGCCATGGTAGCGGGCGGAGCCACCGTTGTGCTAGTGGAACAGGACAAGCGGAGTCTGAGTGATGAGACCCTTGAATACACCGCCGCAGCACTGGATTTCGCATGCATGTACGTATTTGCTACCGACTTTGTCTTTTGACCGTATTTGTCATTTTTCGTGGGCTGTAGAAAGAGGTACATTTTCCAAGTTGCCGATTAAGGTCAAACTGCCTGAAATGTGCAGGTTCGTGCTGGCCAAACAAGGGGGCGACCGCGAGAAGTCTACACGAATTGTCCCAACGGGGGCGCAGGGCAGCTTATTGGCGACGGACTGCACGAAGCAACACATGGTCCCGAACGCGGAAACCTCAAACATGCTGAACATGGATCTCGTTGTTTTCCCTTTGTGGGCAACGTAAGAATTACCCGCTTTAGCGCTTTGCATTAGATGTACCCTCGGCTGACTCCCATCTTGCGTGCCATGTGCAGCGACGAAAACGGCATCACGGTTTGCAGCATCCTCGTTATTTTGGGGCCAAATCAGTTGCAGTACGAAAGGAACGAGGAATCGAGCACGCGAGTCATCCACATCGACCCTTGCGTGGGCCCGGATCCACAGAGGTTGCAGGCTACGAACATCCTCGAGTATGACTCGCCTCCTTGTCGCGACGATTACGTATGCTTTATTGTCGCGTCTGAACTCCGGTTCTGTGTTTGTGCTTGCAGATGGTTTAAGAAAAGCGTCGAGAAATACCATGAGACTGACGACGAGCCGAGCCTTGAATTTGCATTTGACCGAGCGCGACGTTTGAAGCGCGAGTATATGGTATGTGGCCGCCCTAAAACTCCCGCCGCACGAGTAACCACTGTATCCTAACCATGCAAGTGATTACTACTTCCCCGTGCAGGATCTCAGCTCTTTGGACAAGGTGAAGGCAGGATTCGGATTAACGGCTGTGTACGGGTTTTCGCGCATCCTCTCTGAATTCGAGGCAATTACGAAATCTCCGGGGGAAACCGTCCGTGCTGCGTCCGTAAAGGTTTTGAAGCCTTTGCACGATAAGATTTTGAGGCACGCTCAGGACATCGCTATTGACATGCTCAACCACGGAGCTGTCGGTTCACGCGGCCACGGTGGGCCAGCGGGGGTCGCACATAAGCGATCCGCGGTTGCTGGAGCCGCGGACGCAGGCAAGGGCGAAGGTGAGGCCGACGGCGAGGAGGAGGGCAAGAATAATGGCGCGGGCAAGGGCGTGGGCGTAGGCAAGGGCGAGCGCGATGCGGCGGGCGATGGCGAGCGAGAGGCGGATGGCGATGGCGAGGATGAGGGCGAAAACGAGGGCGATAACGATGATTACGAAAACGAGTGGGAGGGCCATGATGGTGGAGACGGAAAGGGCGCTTGGCACGGCGAGGAGGAGGACGAAGGCGAGGGCGGAGGCGAGGGTGGAGGCGAGGCCGAGGGTACGTTTCGTGGTGCGTGGGGACATGCCGAAGGGCACAAAGGCAACACGAAATTTGGGGTCGCGTTTGCCGATGCAGGTCGGGGTCCACAGTTTCGCGGATTTGCAGCAACGAGGCGACTGGGTCTTCGGTCTGAGCGTGCGAACGTGCAGCGGCGGTCGGTGGACGAGCTATTAACGTGGCCTACGCACACGCTCGCGCACGAGGTCGTCCGCCTCGACTATGCTCTCGAGAATTCGCAGCAAGAACTGGCAGACACGCGACAGGAACTTCTGGTGCAGCGAAAACGAATCCGCGAACTTCTGGCGAAGATGGAAGATCAGAGTGCAAGGTTGACAGGTTTTGCCGAGAAATGTGCTGGGAATTTTGGCAGATTGGAAGACCTGGAGAGACGTGCTGCTAAGGATCTCGCGGATGCTGTGCACGAAGTGCGGACTGAACGATCCTCCGCGGCTGCGCAGCGCGAGTCGTCAGAGCGCGCGGTGGTGAAGTTGGCCGAAGCGGCTACTTCCCTCATGTCCCTGGTTTCGCAACGCGAATTTTCCTCGCTAGCAGCAACTGGGATGGAGACAGGAATGGCTATCGCAGGTGAAAGGAAAGAAGCCGGATTGCTGGTTTCGGGACAAGACCGCCGAGTGGGTAAGGAATCTGCGGTAGCGGAAACTGCAGAAGATAGGGGCGCGAAGCGAAGCGCGGTCGTCACTGCAGCAAAGGAAATCACACCATCCGCGAAAAAGGCTAAGTAGAATTCCGCCCCAGATGTCACCTGTCAGCCACCAACCGGAAACGTGGGAGGCTCTTCCAAAGATGCTGGCGAAGTACAGCACGGGTCAACGCAGATCGCGGCTCTCCAGGGTGGTGTGGAGGTGCAGGAGGTCGAGGATCCGGACGAGATCGAAGCCACGATGGCAACTCAGGCGTTGCTTGCTAAACTCCGTGGTGGGAAGGGGGTTGCAAAGGTCGCCCCGAAGGAGAAGGATCTTGGGGTTGGCATAAGGGCAAACGCGAAAGGGACGGGTTGGATGCTGGAGTTGCACTATCTGAACTTGCGCTGGTACTTCGGAAGCTTCTCCGCTCTCGCCACCGCGCGATACATTGCCGCGGTGGTACAGACCGTGTGGCACAAAAAGGTTCCGAGTGACAAGATGGTTCTGTCCAACGAGGAAGAGGAGAAGTGGACCGCGGCTTTGGATGTTGCGCGACTTCTGCATCCTGGAGTGCTCGCTGTTATGTTCCTTCGCGGCATCTGCACCGGCGGCAGCAGGTGGGTTTTGCAAGTGATCTCACAAATTTAGGCCTTCCATGTGGTGCGTTCCCTGATGTATTTTTTGTGGTAATTTTCGTGGCAGGATCGAAAACATGTTTTCGCGCTTCAGGGACGCGAAAGATGGACCGGAAAACCTGAATGACGAGGTGGCGGCCTCAGTTGCGTTGGGGCTTGTGGTGGCTCTGGACACAAATTACGCGAAATCCAAGGTGCCGGAGGGAGCTCTTGCTGGTGCCGTGGCGTTCGTGGTCACGTACCTGTGGCTGGTTTCCAAGGGCCGTGATGGCGCCATCGCCGACACGGAAGCGAAACGGGCTGCAAAGAAGGCAGGTGCACCGGACCTGAGCGTCACAATCATCGTAGCCGCGTGGAAGAACTTTCGCGTCCATGTGAAAAAGAGCCACAATGCTGCCGCCGTTGAGAAGCTTGTGCTGGAAAGTTTCGCAGGAGCGGGCAACAAGAGTATCGGACCCCTCGTTCACGAGATTGTCGATTTGGTGAGGACATGGTGTTACGATCCGGAGGCGGCCGCAAAGATGAAGGGAGATGGGATGTTCGTGGAGTGTGGCGAGGATCGCGCCAAAGCCCGTAAGCGCGAGACCTTGCGTCCTCGCGTCAAGAAGACATTTGCGAAGGATTCCGACATTGAGGAGATTTCTGATGACGAGGCGTAACTTCGCGGTTGGAGTCAATGTTTCGCGTCTGTAGCTGGACATATTGTTTTGTTTTTCTTGTTAACCTGGTTCTCTCTCCTGTAGGCTTGGTGGGTGCAAATAGCATGTTGCGTGGTGTGGGCTGTATATCTTCGCGGGTTCTCTGCATTGCGAATATACGTTTCTCTTTTGAGCAAATAACCTGCTGCTTGGTGTGTGTCGTAGAGACCCTTTTAGGTGTGGAACAAACACGTGGAATATGGGTCCTTTTTCCAGCTTTAACAAGATAACCAGTTGGCTGAAATCGAAAGCACAGAAATGTAAGTACGGGCCGTAAATGTTACCCAAAAACAACCTGGCAAGAGAACATGGTTCAGAGCAGTAGGAAACTCGAAATAGCGCTATCGCCCACTGCATCACTCGTTGCCTGCCGCATTCGCCTTCCGCCGTCCCCCTTTCGTGGGTTGGGGAAAATGGAGCATCCCACCCTGATACGTGTAAAGGCTTTGTGCCGCAAGACAGCACTCGCACCAGTACACAAGCACCCTCGACACCACTTTTGCCATTTCAATAGCCTCTGTCTCCCCAGGCTCGGGATCCACAAGGTTGAGAATAGCTTTGGTGAGAACCCCTTCCCAGTCTGCCTTTTCGTGCGTTTGGTTCTTGACCGATTTTAAAGCCCACACTCCGAGCCGAGCCGTTGAGGTTGCTCGAAACGCAAGGCTTCCCTCGTTAAGCGTGCCATGAGCCGCCTCATCCACACCCTCCGCCCAGTCTTGGTGGGGAATGCCGATCGAGGCACACCACAGGGTATAGAGGGTTGCAGCCACTCCCGCTGCATAGACCGCGGACCGCGGGGCCGACACCAGCCCGACCCCTCCGTGGACCAGGGCCTGTCCAATCCCCGTACAAACAGCCACCTGGAAATGTGCGCCTTCTTTCACCCGTGCGTATGCTTTTTTCATCACGTTGTCGAAGCTGCACAGTAGGGGTGGATACGAGGTTAGTTATGGAGATCGAGAACATGTATGGCAAGCATGCTGAATCCACTCGAACACTCACTTCTCGAATTTGTCCAGGTTCAGTTCGTTCATAACACTCCAGACACCTGTCGGGAGTTCACGAGCGAATTCGAGGTGGACCGCCCACTCTCCAACCTCGACAGGATCCATGCCGTAATGGACCATGTCCGTGTCGGGGAAATAGGCCATCCAACAAACGGCCACCGTGAAGTCGCGCAGTTTCTTCTCCTTGAAGCTCCCCATGTTCCTCTTCACACCTCCGACGGTCTGCTCCGAGTTGTAGCGCACGGTCACCACCCCGTCCTTGTTCTTCTTTTCGCGTGTAGTAAGACCACTCGATCTGAAATGCTTTGTTTCCCCCCATCTCTTTCCTAGCTCGTCTGGTAGCACATCGATCCTTCGCTGTGCCACCTCGTCTGCCGCCTCTCCCAACATGGGTTGAACATTCTGATTTCCCGACACATTTTCACCGACTGCATCCTCTGACTCAGCATCTCCAAAAGACCCTTCATCTGCGTCCGTGTTCGTTCCCGTGTGCTCTATGCGAGGCCTTTTCGAAGGCGGTTGAGTCTCTGAATCACCTGGGCCGTTCAGATGCACTGAATCATCTTGCTCCTCCTCCAGGTCCAATACTTGCAGTGGTTCTTCCGGAACCATGCAAATCACATTTAGAGTCCCGGCACACACTAGACCTTCCGCCTCTTCTCCACCTTCCGCCTCTTCTCCCTGCCCTTGCTCCACTGCCGCATCCACATTCTCTCCCGCAATTCTACGCTTTTCCTTTTCCATTTTCTCCGTTTCTGCCGCTAAGACCTTTCGTTGCATCTCCTCCTCCTCCTTTGCGGCTTCCTCCAACCGTGCAATACGCTCCATCTCCTGCTGAGCTTTCCACCGCTCTATTTCGAGGTCCTTTTTGCGCTTTTCGGCCTCCAACCGCTTCGCTTCAGCGAATTTTGCTATCCGATCACGCTTTGCTTCTAATTCTGCCTCCAATTGTGCCCGCCTCTTCACCGCCTTCGCGTGCTCCTCCCGCTTTCGCTTCTCCTCGCTTTCACGCTCGACCCGCCTTATCTCCTCCCGCTTCCGCTCATCCTCTTCCCTCTGCCTACTTTCTTTTTTTTCGCGCTGCACCCTTTCCTCATCCCTCTTCCGCTCTTCCACTTCCCTCTGGCGCTTCTCTTTCTTTTCGCGCTCGACCTCTCGCTCCTCGTCCCTCTTCCTCTGTTCCTCCTCTCTCTGCCGCTTCTCCTCCTTTTCGCGCTCTGCCTTTTTCTCCTCCCTCTTTCGCTGTTCCTCCTCCCTCCGCTGCTTCTCCTCCTTTTCGCGCTGCACCCGCCTCTCCTCTAGCCCTCTACCCTCATCCTCACCCCTCTGCCGCTTCCTACCCGATTCGCACTGGTCCCCCAAACGCTGTGCCACCACCATCGTATTTCCCACCACCCTTGCATGCTCCCTCTGAAATGCAGTCCGCTTCCGCGTTTCCGCCGCCATATTCTCCAAGCTCTCCTTCTCCTTCTCTTTCTGCAACTCCTTCGCCGCAAACGTCTCTCTCCAGTCTCTTCTCACTGGCCCAGACAAGTCAACATCTGCCACACCAGCGCCCACCTCACCCGCCTCACCCGTCTCGCCCTCGGAGGTCGCGACAAACCTTTCCATTACTTTATGTGCAGCGGCGATAGGGATGTCTGGTGAGTCTGCTTCGCCCTGCGGTCGCGAAAAGTTTGGCGTGGCCTCTGGTCTGTCGGCTTGCGGATTTCCGACGTTGATGGGTCCAGTCCGCCCTTTGAGCTTTGTTCCGGCCGGTCTGGCGGCGAGAGGATTTCCGACGTTGATGGGTCCAATCCGCCCTTTGAGCTTGGTGGCGTCTGGTCTGGCGGGAAGAGGACTTCCGGCGTTGATGGCTCTCGTCCGCCCATCTGGTCTGGCGGGGAGAGGACTTCCGACGTTGATGGCTCCCGTCCGCCCTTTGAGCTTTGTGGCATCTGGTCTGGCGGCGTGTGGATTTCCGACGTGGATGGGTCCAGTCCGCCCACGGGGCTTTGCTGTCATTCCTGCAAGAGCCTTCTGAATAGCTTTGAAACTCTGAGAGTTCTTGTCTTCCGCAACTCTGAGATCCTCCCACACTGTGTATACGCTATTCTCGATAGTCTTTTCCAGGTATTCGATGGAGACGGATGCGATCGTGGACTCAAGCTTCCCTTCTTTTGACGCTTGCTCTAGCGCCAGCGCCACAACACCCTTCAGCCTTTCTAGAAACGCCTCGGAAAACCCCTCGAGCTTTTCCTGCAATGCTTCTACAACCGCCGTTGCAGCTGCTTGACCTGCATCAGCTGCTGCCGCTCGTGCCTCGGCCGTAGACGTCAAAAGAGCAGAACGGATTTCCCGAAGCTCCTCGCGCTCTCGCACAACAGAATCCTTTAGCGTGTGGTACTCGTTTGTCAGATCATCGTAGTCCTGCAAGTACGATGCTTCCCATCCCTGCATCCGCGCACCAAACTGGCGAATCTCGGCCATGCAGTCGCTGAATCGAACACCTTGTTCCGACGAAATCCTGGCAACTGACCTCGCCACCAATGTCAGACGCCGCATTAACTCCCGTGTGGTATGCACCCTGCCGTTAGCTGCGATGCGGTCTCCGGCCTCCTCAAATCCACCCGCCGTTTCCTCGAAAACCTGGGGCCCATCTTTCTCCTGCTCCTGCAGTTGTGTCTCCAAGGCCACCCATTCACCCTCCTCCAGCTCCTCACCCTGCCCCGCAGCAGGATTCTCTGCCGCACGCGGACGATTCCTCTGAATAGGGAGCGCACTAGCCGCGCTCTCCTGCTCCTCTTCCACCCGTCCACCCGCAACCCTTAGCAGCTGATGCTTTCGGCGTTCGCTTTCGGCTCTCTTCCGTTCCCGTTCCTGCCCCTGCCGAGCCTCCTCCCTTTCGCGCGGTTCTCGCCCTCCAGCCTCCACCCTCTGTCGCACTCGCTCCCCTTCCCTCGGCTCATCTCGCGCTTTCCGCTCCCTGGCCTCCAGCCTTTTACGCTCCTGCTCCCCGTTTTCCCTCGCTTCCTTTTCGCGCGCCGGTCGATCCTCGACCTCCGGCCTCTTCCGCTCCCGTTCCTCCTCCCTATGCCTCCTCTCCTTTTTTTTATCGCTCCTCCTTCCTCTCCTCCTCCCGCTTCCGCTCTTCCTCCTCCCGCTGCCGCAACTCCCATTTTTCGCGCTCAGCCTTTTTCTCATCCTCCCTTTTTCGCACTTCCTCCTCCCTCTGCAGCTTCTCCTTTTGTTCGCGATCCTCCTTCCCCTCCTCCTCCCTCTTTCGCTCGCCCTCCTCACTCTGCCTCTTCTACTCTATTCCACGCTGAGCCATTTTGTCCTCCTCCCTTTTCCGTTCCTCCTCCTTTTCGCGCTCCACCCGTTCCTCCTCCTCCTTTCGCGCTTCCACCTCCCTCTGCCGCTTCTCCTCTTTTTGGCGCTGAACCTGTTCCTCCTCCTCCTTCCGCGCTCCCTCCTCTCTCTGCCGATTCTCCTCCTTTTCGCGCGCTGTCTTTTTTTCCTCCACCCTCTTCTGCTCTTCCTCCTCCCGCTGCCGCCTCTCCTCCTTCTCGCGCTCCACCTTCTCTTCCTCCTCCTTCCGCTCTCCCTCCTCCCTCTGCCGCTTCTTCTCCGGTTCGCGCTCCGCACTTCTCTCATCCTCCCTCTGCCACTCTTCCTTCTCCCTCTGCCGCTTCTCCTCTTTTTCGCGCTCAACCCGTTCCTCCTCCTCCTTCCGCGCTCCCTCCTCTCTCTGCCGATTCTCCTCCTTTTCGCGCGCTGTCTTTTTTTCCACCACCCTCTTCTGCGCTTCCTCCTCCCGCTGCCGCCTCTCCTCCTTCTCGCGCTCCACCTTCTTTTCCTCCTCCTTCCGCTCTCCCTCCTCCCTCTGCCGCTTCTTCTCCGGTTCGCGCTCCGCGCTTCTCTCATCCTCCCTCTGCCACTCTTCCTTCTCCCTCTGCCGCTTCTCCTCTTTTTCGCGCTCAACCCGTTCCTCCTCCCTCTTCCGCGCTTCCTCCTCTCTCTGCCGATTCTCCTCCTTTTCGCGCTCTGTCTTTTTTTCCTCCACCCTCTTCTGCTCTTCCTCCTCCCGCTGCCGCCTCTCCTCCTCGCGCTCCACCTTCTTTTCCTCCTCCTTCCGCTCTCCCTCCTCCCTCTGCCGCTTCTTCTCCTGTTCGCGCTCCGCGCTTCTCTCATCCTCCCTCTGCCGCTCTTCCTTTTCCCTCTGCCGCTTCTCCTCTTTTTCGCGCTCAACCCGTTCCTCCTCCCTCTTCCGCGCTTCCTCCTCTCTCTGCCGATTCTCCTCCTTTTCGCGCTCTGTCTTTTTTTCCTCCACCCTCTTCTGCTCTTCCTCCTCCCGCTGCCGCCTCTCCTCCTTCTCGCGCTCCACCTTCTTTTCCTCCTCCTTCCGCTCTCCCTCCTCTCTCTGCCGCTTCTTCTCCTGTTCGCGCTCCGCGCTTCTCACATCCTCCCTCTGCCGCTCTTCCTTCTCCCTCTGCCGCTTCTCCTCTTTTTTCGCGCTCAACCCGTTCCTCCTCCCTCTGTCAGAATGTTATCTTATGCTCTAGCCTGTAGTGGGGTGCTCTATAGCGAGTACAACCCTTCTAGGGTTTCCTATTTGTATCCCCATTCTTGCTAGTGCATCTCTTCTTCTTTCTTCTAAACTTTAACATGCTATCAGAGCAGGTCGATCCCCTTGGATCGATCCTGTGGGTGGGCTTACCACCTCCTAGCTTCCGCTGCAACTCCTACCACTACACTCGGTGCCGCACGCCCCGTGGCGTGTGGCAGTTTTCTTCCCGCCGTGCGCCCCGAGGCGCGCGGCGGTTTTCTGCCCGCCGTGCGCCCCGAGGCGCGCGGCGGTTCTCTGCCCGCTGTGCGCCCCGAGGCGCGCGGCGGGCTTCGGCCCCGTCAACCGTCGCGTCGCCCTCGGGAGGCTCCGCGACGGGCGACGGGGACCCGTTCGTCGCCCCCCGTCGCCCGTCGTGGCCTGCGCGCGGCCCGTACAGGCAGCGCGCGACCCGTACGGGCTGCGCCAGGCCAGCGCGCGACCCGTACGGGCTGCGCCAGGCCCGCGCGCGGCCCGTACGGGCGGCGCCAGGCCCGCGCGCGGCTCAGGCCGCCTACGCGCGGTTCGGGCGACCCTACCAGGCCCGTGGTGGGCCCGCTCCTTGCTGCCCCTGCCCTCCCTACTGTCCCCCAGCGCTTCTACTCGTGCCCCACCCCTCCTACTCCCCATTCTCCTGTATTAGGGTTTGGGGGTGCGGGGTATGGGGGTGCACCCACTGTGTACTGTTCCCTGCTCCTCCTCCTCCTCCGTCTCCCTGTGCTGCAGCTGCCGCTGAGGGGGGGTGGACGTGTTGGAGCCGGTGGAGTGGTACTAAGGGGGGGTGAAGGGGGAGTGGAGCTAGCGGTGTAGCAGCGGGTATGTGCCAGGGGGGAGTGGGATAGTTTGGGGAAGCTGAATGGAGGTTGCCGTCGTGTCGCCAGCAGCACCTGTATTCCGGGGACTTCGTCCGGTAGCCCAGTCGTAGCCAGCTGTGCCAGCCGCCCGTGGGTCCGTTGCTCGTCTGCCGCTACTTTAGCCGCGGGGCCTGTTACTCCTGTATTCCGGGGACTTCGTCCGGTAGCCGCTGTGCCAGTCTGCCTCCTGTTGCCTGTGTGTCTGCAGCTTCAGCCGTCGCCTCCTATCTCCTCTCCTCTCACTCTCTCTCCTCCTCCTCACTTGCCCGTTGTGACTACCACTAGCTTTGCTCATAATTGTGAACTTAAACTATTGCTTCTTGAACTTGTGCTCAGAATGTGTGGTGACATTGTGATCCACCCTGAGCTTGTACTCCTTTGCTTACTCTGCTGATTACACCCCACTTTGGCTATGGGGGTGTGTCAGAATGTTATCTTATGCTCTAGCCTGTAGTGGGGTGCTCTATAGCGAGTACAACCCTTCTAGGGTTTCCTATTTGTATCCCCATTCTTGCTAGTGCATCTCTTCTTCTTTCTTCTAAACTTTAACACCCTCTTCCGCGCTTCCTCCTCTCTCTGCCGATTCTCCTCCTTTTCGCGCTCTGTCTTTTTTTCCTCCACCCTCTTCTGCTCTTCCTCCTCCCGCTGCCGCCTCTCCTCCTTCTCGCGCTCCACCTTCTTCTCCTCCTCCTTCCGCTCTCCCTCCTCCCTCTGCCGCTTCTTCTCCTGTTCGCGCTCCGCGCTTCTCTCATCCTCCCTCTGCCGCTCTTCCTTCTCCCTCTGCTGCTTCTCCTCTTTTTCGCGCTCAACCTGTTTCTCCTCCCTCTTCCGCGCTTCCTCCTCTCTCTGCCGATTCTCCTCCTTTTCGCGTTCTGTATTTTTTTCCTCCCGCCCCAAATCATACATCTTCTTTGTCCGTGCCTCCCGTCTCTGATACACCACCCTAGTCTCCAGTTCCGACCTCTGCACCTCTTCCTCCAATTCGCCTCCGAGATTCTGACTCCCCTGCCCGTCTTCCAAACCCGGACACTGTTCCATCATCTGATCCTCTATCATCTCCTCCTCCCCCCCCTGCTGAATGGCCTCCTTTGCTGCCCTCTGCTGCGTCTCCCTCATTCCTCGCAAAATTTCGCGCGCACTCTCCCTCTGAACGGGTGGTTCCTCTGTATCCATCAGCTGACGCTCCCCATCCGCGACGCTCTGCCGCTCGTTGGCCAGACCAATTCGAACACCGTCAGCAATCAGCGCACCCACAGCGACTATTTCCGCATCAATCTCTGGCGGGGGACCTGTGTCCTCTACGGGAGGCCCATGTTGGTCCAAGTTGTCCACATTCTCTTCCTCTCCACCAATTTCACCACGGTCTACTTTCGCGAAATACGTACCACAGTCTTTGAGTATCTCCGCCAGAACATGCTCTCGACGGTACTGTGGGGTTCCCATGACGAGGAATTTCTCATCTCTCGTCCGCTGCTGCAGAATCTCGTCGAAATGATCCAGAATCTTGCACCACTGATAGGCCACGTGTAGGCCTGAACCAACCTCCCTCTGGCCGACTGCCTGAGTTAGCTTCTGCACGAAACGGATGTGGAATCGCGTCGGCATCTGTCCGTATCCGAAAAAAACAGTCACAACATTCGTACAGTTAACTTACCGCCGTTTTGTCGAGCTTCCACCCGCTTTTGATGCGGGCCCGAATGTTTCGAAAAACTTCCTTCGTCTCCCCTTCCGAGATCGCTTGCCCTCTTGAATACTCCATCAAAAGCTGCAACTCCAGCCACCTGCGAAAAATGTGTTGTTTCAACAGATTCCGTCAGCTCCGTATAAGTAGGCAACACGCACAGATGAACCATAAAATACGGATACCCACTGGACAATCTCTTGGGCGAGAACAGCGTGCTTGTGTGTCGGAGAACACGCTTTCGGGTCGAAATGCAGGAGACGCGTCTGAACCGGTGACTTCGCTTTGTCCCACAGACTGTCGGGGCGTACTAGAAGAAAGAGGCTACAGCGCGCCCGAGGGTCGGAACTGATACTGCAAGGGGTGGTGGGGCGAAATGATACAGAACTCGATATCGAAGAAACGAGTAACTTCTCGAGGAACAACGTTTTCGAAAGCCCGTTTCGAAACTAGAACTAACCTGGACCACAGCGGGAATACGCAGAGCTGCTTGCCAAGGAGTCCAGTGAGCCTGTCGGGACCCACAAGTTCCACAGGGACTTTCGCCCTGGCGACGTTGACCTTACTCATGGGGACAATTTCCACCTTCGAAAGCTGCTCCGCGGTCAGTCTTTTTTTTGCAAGCATCCTGCCCATCATGTAGACATAAACGCTCGATTCAGCTAGAACATTGGTAGAGGAACATAAACTCGGTAGTTAATGAATCCTGCGGAGCACACATGCTAGGCAAAGAGTCTATCGCTACAGAGTACGGATGCGAAAGACATTTCTCGGACACTGACACCCTAAACCGAGAATTTGACATGATTAGCGGTTTTCTCGGATACCAATACACTAAACAGAGTATCTAACATGATTAGGGGTTGGAGCTCTAAATCGGGGTACAAATTCGAGACACGATTTTGTTGGAACACTCAACATCTACTACAGCGCATGTCGTTCGAAAACAGCTTACAGCAACACGAAGTTGAGGATGTCCTCGGACCACTCCTCAACCTGGTCGCGAATGTTTCCGAACTCTAAACGCGACAGCCGCACACGCAGACCAGCCCCCTCGAGGTCCATCGAGGGCTCCATCGGAACGGAAAGTGGGAGGCTGAGTCGCAGAACTGAGGGGAAGAAAGAGAGGAAGTGAAAGGTGGGGTGCAAAATGAATGAATGACCTCTCTCTGACATTTATACGTACCAAATAAGAAAGCAACTGCCCATTTCGGAGGGCGTAACCCGAACGTGTATCATGTATAGATTGTGTCGGGGTAGTTACGAAATCGTACCCCAAATCACCCGCGGGATCCCAGATCGAGGTGGTACTCGGCCATTACTTACACATTCCAAGTAAGTTGTTGTACTGCCGATGCCCTCGAATTCGGCCCCTCGAAACTATGGTCCGGCAAAAGAGGCTTTAACCCAAGGAAAAACACTCTCGAAATTACACATCAGTTTACATCAAGAGGTGACAATACACCCAGCAACATGGATGCTATAAGTCAGCAAAACCATAACAACATCATTTAGGAATTGACAACAAGTGTCTCTACAGCTATCATAATTGATGGCAGTGTGGAAAGGCAGACAATAGATTCTTATAGTCTCTCGCATACATAGTGATAGCCCCATCAAACCCAAAAGCAAAAAAACCATGACGAATGACTAGAGAACCACCTAAAATATAATGTACAATACGACACTATCACAAAACATAACTAACTCTAGGGTCTTGACACCAGGACAATGACTCTTTGAGGAGGCAAAATGCAGAGCAAACTCATGAAAATACATCAAAACAATGCTACAAACGCACAAGGAAACAGTCAGTCATTATCACCCATCTTTCAAGTTCCACAATTGGTTTGACATTAGATAGGTGATGTACAAGCCATCCTAGCTCTAAAAAACCATCTAGACTCAACAATGAACCATGCAAAAACAACACGTTTGCCTTTACGATTGCCAGATAATGACTTGGTATGTACCACTGACATACTTGAGGTTGATAACAATGACCAAAATTACAAACTTTTCACAACTTTCAAAAATGATTGAAACTTGTAGAGGACTACTAGAGGAGCCAGAATATACAAAAAAACCTTGAAGAAACCAACCACAACAGAATAAAACCTCCTTGGAAACATCATTTTGGGCAATGATTTTTATGTCAGATTTATATGACAGAGCTACTGTAGGCTATAGTGGGGTAGCACATATGGGGTACAGTTTTCTAGGGTTTGCATTTGTACCCAAATTTCCCTTAGTCATTCCCATTCCTCGTTTCTTCTCATGGTATCGAGCAGGTTCCCTAGTGGGAACGATTCCTAGGGCCCACCACCACGAATTTTTTTTCTCCTGCCCGGAGCGCGCTTCGCTCAGGCCCGAGTCGCGCCCTGTGTGCTCTCCCTACCGTCGCGCCCTCGCTAGGCCCCTGACGGCCCCGTCGCGTCGCCCTTAGCGGCCCCCTCACGGCTCGTCGCGCCGCCCCCTACGGCCCTTCGCGCCGCCCTCACGGCCCTTCGTGCCGCCCTTACGGCCCGTCGCGCCCGTCGCGCCGCCCTTACGGCCCCTCGCGCCATCCCTTACGGCCCCTCGCGCGGCCCCTTACGCCCCTTACGGCCCCTCCCGCGGCCCCTCACGGCCCCCTACGGCTCGTCGCCGCCCTCCGCGGCCCCGCCACCTACCTGTGCGGCCCCGCCACCTACCTGTGCGGCCCCGCCACCTACCTGCGGCCCCGCCACCTACTAGCGGCCCCGCCACCTACCTGCGGCCCTGCCACCTACCAGCGGCCCCGCCACCTACCCGCGGCCCCGCCACCTACCTGTGCTGGCCCCGCCACCTACCTGTGCGGCCCTGCCACCTACCTGCGGCCCCGCCACCTACTAGCGGCCCCGCCACCTACCTGCGGCCCCGCCACCTACCAGCGGCCCCGCCACCTACCCGCGGCCCCGCCACCTACCTGTGCTGGCCCCGCCACCTACCTGCGGCCCCGCCACCTACCAGCGGCCCCGCCACCTACCTGCGGCCCCGCCACCTACTAGCGGCCCCGCCACCTACCTGCGGCCCCGCCGCCTCCTCTCAGCGGCCTCGCCGCCTCCTCCCAGCGGCCCCGGACGCCGCCCTCTCAGCGGCCCCGCCGCGCCGCCAAGCAGCCGAGCCGCCCAGCCGCCGAGCCGCCCAGCAGCCGAGCCGCCCAGAAGCCGAGCCGCCGAGCCGCCCAGCAGCCGAGCCGCCGAGCCGCCCAGCAGCCGAGCCGCCGAGCCGCCCAGCAGCCGAGCCGCCGAGCCGCCCTGCAGCCGAGCCGTCGAGCCGCCCAGCAGCCGAGCCGCCGAGCCGCCCTGCAGCCGAGCCACCCGAGCCACCCTGTCCGGTAAGAGCAGCGCCTCTTTCACAGCACTGCCCTCACCCTACTGTTTGCACTGCTAGTCTACTGCTGTCATGGCTACCCCTAGTGTCCTCGCTTTTGATGCTGAGGGTCGGGCCATTGACTTTGACGTCTGGATAGATGACCTGCAGCTTTTCTTACAGTGCGACAGAGCAGACGGCCTCTCCCTCTTTGACCTCACTTCTGGTGCCTCTCCTGCCCCCGCTGCTGATGCTGACGCCACTGTTCGCTCACAGTGGGCCACGCGAGATGCTGCTGCACGTCTTGCTGTGCGTCGCCACCTGCCTACCTCTGAGCGTGCGCACTTTAGCCAGTACAAGAGTGCTCACACCTTGTACGACGCTGTAGTTGCGCGCTACTCCTCCCCTGCCACTGCTGCACTGAGCCGCCTCATGCTACCGTACCTCTTCCCTGACCTTGCTGCCTTTCCCACAGTCGCTGACCTCATTACGCACCTCCGCACTAGTGACACTCGCTACCGCGCTGCGCTTCCTGCTGAGTTCTGCGCCAAGAACCCCCCCCCCATGTACATCACCCTCTACTACATAGTCACCCGGCTCCCTGACTCCCTTCGCGTAGTCAGGGACCACTTCCTCTCAGTTTGCCCCACCACTCTCACCGTTGACCTCCTCGAGAAGTCCCTCCTAGCAGCAGAGAAGAGCATAGTCGCTGTAGGAGCCTCTCGTGGTGACCCTCGCACCCCCATCTTTGAGGGGTGTTCCCCCTCCCCCCTTTTGCCCTCTGTTGCCTCTGCTGCTGCGGCCGACCTCGTTGGGCTTGAGTCGGTCGGTGCGGCGTCTACCCCTAGCGGGAGACGCCGCCCTGGCAAGGGCAAGGGGGGCAGGGGCACTGGAGGAGCTAGCGGGGGCGGTGGAGGCGGCGGTGGAGGCAGTGGAGGGGGTGGGGGTGGCGGTGGGGGTGGTGGTGGGGGTGGAGGTGCCGGTGGCGGCGGTGGAGGCGGAGGCGGCGGTGGCGGTGGGAGCGGAGGTAGCGGCGGTGGAGGAGGCGGCGGCGGAGGCGGTGGAGCTGGTCGGGGTGGCGCTGCGCAGAGGGTCGGCTCCGGTGGTGGTCAGCGCCAGCAGCAGCAGCAGCGCACTCGTGACATCCCCCCCCCTCAGCAGCTCCGTGAGTGGTACGCTGCACGCCAGCGGGGTGGGGGTACTGGTCCGTGCACCTACGTCCTCCGCACCGGCGACCGCGCGGGTGACCAGTGCGGGGGTGCGCACTCCACCCAGCGCTGCTTTGGCCGCCTGACGGACGCTTGGCGTCACCAGTTCCCTGAGGCCACTGAGATCCCCCGCTGGGGTGAGCTGTCTTGGGCGGGTGTCGCTGTCTTTGACCTTGACTTTGATGCTATTCTTGCTGCTATGTATACTGTGACTATTAGTGATGAGGGCGACTGTTACCGGTGTTTTCCGCCCGACCCGGGCATTGAGACTGCTGCTCTAGGTACTGGTGAGGCTGCTGCTCTAGGTGCTAGCGAGGCTGCTGCTCTAGGTGCGTCTGCTCCCTCAGGTGCTGGTGAGTCTGCTCTCTCAGGTTCTGCGTCGG